GAACTATGAGAATATAAACTTCTTTTGTTTTTTTTGTTTTGTTTGTTTGATTTTAGTTTTTGCACTCCCCAGAGAGAGAAAGACAGAGGGTGAGAAATTGCCCACCTCAGAGAATGGCCGTGCCACAATACCTTCTCCTCCGTTCTCTTCTTGATATTATTTTGAGGGGGCACACATGCACATGTGCCCAGTGTGATTCTTAAGTCACTGGGTTTAGGACTCACCCACACAGTCGGCCATGTGGGATCCAGCATCTGAATCTCCATGCCACCTGCTGGTCTACTTCTTTTGTTTTTAAACCATCAAGTTTGCAGTAATGTGTTATGGCAGCCCTAGAAAACTAATACAAACTACTATAAGGGGGCCAGCAGGTGGCATGGTAGTTAAGTTGCTGGACTCCCACATGGCTGACCGTGGTTTGAATTCCAGACCTGGCGGCTTGCTTTCTCACTTTCTCTCTCTCTTTCTCTGTGTCTCTCTCTGGTCAAACTTAAAAAATAAAATAATAATGATAAATTAAATTAAAATTATTTTTAAAAACTACTATAAGGAACATAATATTGAATTAGAAATGTCAGAGAAAAATCAGGGATTAAAAAATATGTTTCTGGGACCAGCAGTTAGCGTAATGGCTGTGTCACCGGACTCCCATGTAGTCGACCGCAGTTCACGTCCTGGACCCGGTGGCTTAGAACTCACGCCGGGCGCGTGTGTGTGCGTGCCCAAGATCCCGAGAGGAGAATGGAGGAGAAGGGATTGCACTGTGGCCATCCCCCCTGGGGGGTGATTTCTCGCTTTCTGTCTCTGTCTCTCTCTGTCTGTCTGGCAAGCGCACTCGCCCTATAGCAAAAACCTCTCCAAAAAAATTAATTATATATATATGTTTCCTAGTACTGAGTAGGCCTAGTAAAAATGAGTACACATCATGCCCAAATATTGGTCTCTAAATACTTTTTCCCAGTGAAAGGAATCTGAACTTTTTAGAAATATAACTGATTCTAAAGCTGGAGCAAGGAAATTGTCAAATGATCTTGGAATATCTTGATGTGCCAGAATGCAAGGAAGCTCTCAAAGACTAATAGGGGTCATGTGAAGAGAATACAAGAGCAACAAAAATAATTGTCAGTGAGAGTTCAATTTAACCATCTATTTACTTGTATATACTAACACAGATTACAGTAAGTGGATAATCCTTGTTTTCTTCTTAGAATTTAACACAATTACTAATTTTCTGTATTTTTTTAACTTATACTGTGTGTGTATGTATACATTGGTTTACCCATGACACTCCATGAGGTAAGGGACAGCATCTATCTCGTCTGCCATTACATCTGGGCCTTAATAGCATGTGTTACACATAGATAGTTAAATATCTGTTAAATGAGTGAGTATGGGCAGGCCTTGATTATCAACCTCAACCAGCTTGTCGTTTCGTAACTCAGTGTTTTCCAATTAGTCACAACACATTCTACATTTTCTCATTGGAAGCCGTGAGCAGCTATTTCTCTCCAGAACAATTTCTAGTAGCAGGTAGATTCCACATTAAACAAGTGATAAAATTTCACATCATCAATAATATGTGGTCTTTTATTAGATTGTGAATTGGAAAAAACATATGTAGGATATCATTATGATAATTGGAAAATTTTGAATATTATATAATATTGTGTTAATATTACATTTGTTGGATATAATTAAAGTATTCTGTAATTATGTGGAAAGATAACCTTATTCTCAGGTTTGGCATGCTAAAGTATTTACAAATAAAATGCCATGATGTTTATAATTTTCCTTCAAATAATTCAGAAAAAAAGTGTGTGTGTGTGTGTGTGTGTGTGTGTAAAAAGAGAGGGAAAGTTACCAATTGGTGAATGTAGGTGAATTACTAAAGGGTGTCTATTGTACTATTTCAATTTTTCTAATTTAGTAATTTTCAAAATAAAAGCTAAAATAAAGTAAGGACTAAGTCTAACAAATGATGGACAAGCCTACAAATATACCATAAACATTTGTCAAAGAATCTCAGAACAAAGACGTTAATGTTTTTCAAAATTTTTAACACACAAACCTCACCATATCAAATATTTATTATGTATTTGCCACATTATGTACATTAATTATGCTATACGGTATATGTGCTGATACAATGACCAAAATCTGCTTTCATGGAGTTGACATTTGGTAGTGAAGACATAGGAAACAGTCAACAAGCATGTAAACATATAAACGGGAAGATACCAAATGCTATAAAGGAAACAAACAAGCTGAGATTTAGAATAACCAGGAGTCCTATTTTAGATGAGAAAGAACTCTCAAAAGAGTTGACATTGTCCAGGAACCAAAAGATCAATGTATCTGCAATGAAATAGGGGAAATGTAGTGGGAGATGAGATCAGAGACTTGGCAGGGGCCATCTAAAGAGGATAAGGAGACCAGAATAAGGAATTGGGATTTTATTCTAGTGATATGGAATGTTTTAACTCAGAGTGTAGCATCACCAGGCTTATATACTGAGAAGATTTTTCTTGCTAGTAAGGGGGCCAAAATGGGAGTAGACCAATTAAATTTGTATCTCCACTGGAGGAGATAGCTCATGTATGGTTATTTTGTTTCTGTTTTTGTTTCTATTTGTGCTATAGAGTGCATGCGCTCACCAGGGAGGGGGAGAGAGAGAGAAAGGGGGGGGGGTGTGACACAGCTTTCCCTTCTCCTTCACTCTCCTGTCAGAACTGTGGGCACAGATGCACATGCGCCCAACATATTTTCCAAGCCACCAGATCAGAACTCAACCACACAGTGGGATCCAGTCACCTTAACCACCATGCCACCTGGCTGACCCTATCCATCATTATTTTTGAAAAGCTTCTTAGGTTGAGTCCAATGAACAGCCAGGATTAGTATACTTGGGGGTGGGAAAAGTGAATAAAGAAGAGGGCCCAAATTTCTTTCATTTTGATAGATAAACTGTTTGTAGGATCAGTGTTATTGCATACTTCCCACTTGGAATCCAAAGTGAAACAATACCACACTTTGCAGAGATAAAGATGGCAGAATTGTTCAGGGAAATGTCACTCCAATAGACCCAGGAAAGCAGGAGCCCCCTGGTTGCTGTTTAACCACTTCTTTGACTTTACTGTGGCAGGTTGCCTCCTTTCACACAAACTGCCTCAGGAGTCTCCTGGCAAGATCATACATTGTGATAGGATATCACTTGCTCATGTTGTTCTTGTTTCTCCAAGACTCTTGCTTATTCTTAGCATTTGGCTGGGATTTATTTCTACTGTAGAGTCACTGTGACCCCCACCCCACCCCAAAACCACAGGGTTTCAAAATCGCCTTAAATCACTCTTTGAATATTTAGATTTTCATTTTCCCAAACACCCACCTGTTTCATAGGTGGGCTTACCTACTAAGTCCCAGAACGGCAAGATGCCTTGAGTCTTAGACTGTCTTCCTCCTTTCTTCTGCACCCTCTCCCACCAGTCATTCTGTTACACTAAATTGTATGCCTTACTATGTTACTATTGTCATTCTAAAGTTGTTACCAATGCATATGAAACCAGCTGATCTAACACCAGCACCTACCATTAATTGATCACTTCTCTTGCAATGCACTGATGAGAAAGTCAGGTAACTGAAGCATGACTCCTGCTCAGTTCAATGGATAGAAGCAAAGCACTCAATTCCACTGATACTTTGGGAAGTGGGTGAGAACTTGAGGAGCCTGGGGGCAGAGAGTGGAGTGGGTTGAAATTAAAATTTTTTTTCCTGTCAAGCAACTAATAAGTGTTTTTTTTTTTTCCTCTTTCAGGTTTTTCAAGGAAATCAGGACTCCTTCACACCTGTAGTGAACTCTCTAGACCCACCATTACTGACTCGCTATCTTAGAATTCATCCCCAAAGTTGGGTAAACCAGATTGCTCTGAGGCTGGAAGTTCTGGGCTGTGAGGCACAGCAGCTATACTGAGGTTGGCTTCTGCATCCTCTGCTCCAGGCCATTCCCCACTTTGAGGCTAGCGCCCCTCTTGGGCTTGCCTTCTAGTTTTGTGCCTAAACTCCAGGTTACTCCCTACCCCACACTTTCTGAGGCGTCATCATTTTTCCACGTATTTAAACTATTCAACCCTAGCAGACACTGCCCTGAAGCCTCTCAATTGTCATTAATCTTGCATTTCCCAGGGGCGGTTGCTTCCAATTTAACACTTGCCTTTTTACATAGCTGTTCCCAGATTGGTCCTTTCAACGTAATTAGGCAAAAAAAAGAAGTGAGGAGAAACACATATAGGAAGGATTCTTTTCTTACAAGTTAGGTCTCACAGAGCTACCCCTTCTCTTACTGTAGAAAAAAACTGATGTATTGAAAGTTGTTAGAAGATATTCATGATGTAAGCATTTTTAAATCAGGCTTCATACATTTAAAATAAAACTCTCATTTGCTTATCATCCTGGTCAATCATGGAACAAAACATATTTGGGGGTCATATCAATGCGACCTTGAAGTCAAAAGGCAACTCATTTTGACAGCATACAAAACGGAGATTATACAAAAACTACCACATTAAAGTCTATTTTTCCTCCTTATAGACAGATACAACTATCTTATTTAGTCATCTTGGGGCATCGTTAGCGGCACATTCATATCTCAAAAACTAATGTTGTTAAACTGAGGCTCACAGAGGAGGAGTTCAAGAGCCCCTCAGTCCCCTGGAAATTTTTATATATTATGTGTGTGTGCATGTAACAAAATAATATATATGGATTTTTCTGAAAACAATGTCCATAGATTTAATCAGATTTTAAAATTAGTGAAAGGCCTTTAAAAACTTCCATATAATATCAGAAAGCTGTAGAAATACAGTCATTTGGTCTTAATTCTGATCAACAACAACCAAGATAGGCCAGGAGTATGGAATTATTGGGAACTCTGAAATAAAATGACAATTTCCTCTTGAAATTTATGGTGGCCAAGAAAGGTGATGATGAAATTCCAATAATGCATTCATTTTACTCCTGCTAAATATATATATATATATTTAAAAAAACACACAAAAAAATGTAACCAGGAAAATTTTATACCATGACTTAAAACTAGAGTCCTACTTACATAGTTGAGATATTAAGAAGTTAGAAGAAAATTGAACTGGTCAAAACAGACTGCCACATCCAGCACACAAGAAGAACCTCCACCTTACTTAAGATCATGAAGGGTTTACTGCTCCTTTTGTCCTCCTTCCCCCCTCATTACGACAGCACAAACATCTGATAGTAAAGAGGGCCAGAAGCTAGGATGAGTCATACAGCAGTTGGAGAAAACATCTGAAGTTTGCAACTCAAGGCAATTTGAAGACAGGAGTATCAAGTATGAAAAAATGTTACCTGATCTCAGAAAGGCAAGAGACCATCTACTTTCCTACCCACCTTTCCCCTGCTCCCCGTACCCTAGACCGAGCATTTTCTGATAATCCTGCTTGACTCCGATATGACCTTTTTGGGTGTTATAATATAGTAATAACTGTCACAGTATAGTCACAATTCATAACTGATGAAGTGCAAATGGTTTATAGTCCTATAAAAATTTTGTAAGGTAGGAGGTTAACTTTCAGAAACCAATAAGTTGTTTTCTTTTATAGTCTGGTAGAGGAGTTGACCCCAAAGGTGATATGGTTTTATTTACTGTAAAAGGTTAACCACGCTTATGCTTAACTTAATAATCTTGTTTTGAAGTTCTTTTTCCCATTGACTATACATGTGTCTGTTTCTCAAATGCTCTTGGAACCAGCTCTTTGGTTTTCCTGTTATTTTCTTCAGTAATGAGTCAAATAAAACCTTAGCACATACAATCAAATCTCTTTCAGAATTGTGTTTTTGCACTAGAAATAAAAATGGAAACAATTATATTTTAAGAAGAAATAGAGGTACTGAACACCAAGATGGACATTTTAGAAAACCAAATTAGTGAGTTAAAAAAACAGACTAAATTGAACTCCAAGTAAAAAGTGACATATTTTGATTACCCCCAGAGCCTGAGCCCCAGAGCAAGGAGTAGCAATAGAAAGTGAGACCAATTGAGTGAGGCAGGAAGACTGCCTCTGGCCTTCCATTGCCTTCTGATTACCCCAGGCACATCTCAGGCTAGCTCTTCCCACATCCCTTTACTACCATTACTACTGAGCCTGCATCCCAGAGCAGGGGGGCAACTACAGTCAATGAGATCAACTGAGGCAGGAAGACTGCTTCAGATCTCTAGCTGCCTTCTGCCCATCCAGGAATACTTTGAGATTTCATAGTTTTCTGAACTCCTACTGACTCCTACTCCCTCCCCCAGTTTAAACTCTTTAATTTTGTACCAGGTGCACCTTAGAAAAGAATCAACACCTAAAGCTGGCTCTATACACACTTCTCTGACTGGAAGACAGGGCTCTCTACCAAGAACACATCTGAGAAGTAGAGCTCTTCTTCCCCCAACACTAAAAAATCAACACCAGAAAATTAGGAAGAAGTGTATAATCCATCAGATAACTAGAAACTGGTGCAGAGGCACAAGAAATATGGAAAAACAAGGAAAGAACTCTTTCATAATGGAACAGAGCAACTCTTCTTCAACCATAGACAGTACAAAATAATTTGCAGGAATGTCAGAAGTAGAGTTCAGAATATTCATGGTGATAGAGATGAGGAAGTCTTTCCAGGATATGAAGGAGGAGACAGACACCATAAAAAAGAACCTATCAGAACTTCTAGCGATGAAGACAGTAACATAGGAAAGCAAGTCCTCTCTTAAAAGTATTACTAGCAGATTGGACCAATCAGAAGATAGAATCTGAGTTGGAAGACAAAAACTTTGATTTAGATAAGACTACCAAAAATAATGAAAAAAAAATTTAAAACTGGAGGATAATATTTTGGAAATATAAGACACTATCAAAAGCCCAAATATCCAAATAATAGGTATTCCAGAAAATGAAGAATTGCTCAAGGACATAGAAGATCTATTCCATGAAATACTTGTAGAAAAATCCCCAAATCTAGAAAAGCATTCAGATATCCAGACCCAAGAAATTTAAAGTACCCCATATAGACTCAACATAAGAAGATCCTCACCATCACATAACATAGACAGAATGGTAAAAAAATTACAGATGAAGACAAGATTCTAAAATTGGCAAGAAAGAAATGTCAAGTCAGTTACAAAGATTACCCTATCAGGCTAACATCAGACCTCTCAACCAAAACAATTCAGGCAAGAAAAAATGAGAAGACATATTCAAAATACTAGAAGAAAAACTATTTCAACCAAGAATACTATACCTGGCAAGATTACCCTTCAAATGGGCAGAACAAATAAAATCATTAGCAGACAAACAAAAACTGAAAAATTACCAATACTAGACTAAGTCTTAAAGAAGTACTGAAGAGAATAATATATCAGGAAAACTAAAGAGAGACAGACAGAAATAAGAGAACACCCATACACACATACAAAAAAAAGAAGAAAATGACTAACAAAATGGCAGGGACAAATCTGCGAATATCAATAATAATGCTGAATGTTAACATGTATGGTAATATCTTTGATTAAGCCAATGTACAACATATTCTGGATAGAAAATCTCTTTTTGTATACTGTTTTGTACAGTGAATGACTAAATAAATTAATTTTTAAAAAGAAGTAAAAAAATAATAGTTACACTGAATATTAATGAATTAAATTTTCTAATCAAAATACTGACCACATGATAGGGCACAAAACAAGCCTTTACAATTTCAAAGGCAAATAAACTATATCCAGCATATTCTCCAAACCCAATGAAATTAAACTGTAAATTAATTTCAGAAAAATTCCTCAAAAATACACAAACATATGGTAACTAAACAACCTTCTCCTGAATGACTTCACAACCACTGAGGAAATTAAGACTGAAATAAAAATATTCATTGAAACCAAAAATAATGAGTCCATGAGTTTCCATAATCTATGGGACACAGCAAAAACAGTCTTAAGAAAAGCATGGAAAGGTGGCAAATAAACAACCTAACAGCACACCTCAGGGAACTTAAAAAACAACAAGTCTAGAAGAAAGGAAATGATAAAGATTTGAGCAGAAATAAATGAAATAAGAGAATATGCTATATAGAAAATAAGTGAAACCAAAAGCTGGTTTTTTTAGAAGAAAAACAAAATTGATACACTGTTGGCTAACTAAACTAATTAAGAAGAATAGATAAAGGAACCATATAAATCAAATCTGCAATGAAACAGGCAATATTACAAAAGATATAATAGAAATATGAAAGATTGTTCTCATACTATGAGCAACTATATGCCAACAAACAAGAAATCCTGGATGAGATGGACAAATTTTTGAACACATAATCTACCAGCACTGAATCAGAAAGACATAGAAAGCCTGAATAGATCAATAACAAGCAATGAAACTGAATCGATAATAATAATAATAATAAAGCTCCCAACAAAGAAAAGCCCAGGTCCTGATGCTTTCACTTCTGAATTCTACAAAACTTTTAAAGAAGAGCTAACCCCCATTCTATTCAAACTATTTTTAAAGGTCCAAAAGGAAGGAACCTTCCCAAATTTATTTTATGAAGTCTCCCTCACCTTCATCCCCAAACAGACAAGGACATAACAAAAAGACAGAAAATTACAGAAATAGCTCTGATGAATATAGATGCAAAAATTCTCAACAAGATACTACTAAATCATATCCAATGACGTATTAAAAAGATTATACACCATAACCAGGTAAGCTTTATTCCAGGGATGCAAGGCTAGTTCAACATACACAAAACAATAAATGTAACACACCATATTTGCAGAAAGAAAGATAAAAAACCATATGATCATATCAATTAATGTAGAAAAAGTATTTGATAAAATACAACATCCATTCATGATTAAGACTCTCGGCAAAATCAACGTAGAAGAGATATTTTTCAACACAATAAAAGCCATATATGAAAAACCCATAGCTAATACCATACTGGAACAAGACCAGGCTGTCCACTTTCTACACTCCTTTTTAATACAGTACTGGAGGTCCTAGCCAATGCTATCAAACAAGAGATTAAAATAAAGGGCATTAAAATAGGGACAGAAGAAGTAAAATTACCTATATTTGCAAATGACATGATTATATACAAAGTAAAACCAAAAGAATCTACAAAAGAACTCCTAGAAGTGATAAATGAATACAGTAATGTGGCAGGATACAAAATCAACATACAAAAATCTATAGCATTTCTATACACCAGCAGTGAATAGAGAGAGACAGAACTGAAGAAAGTAATTCCATTTACAATAGCCACAGAAATAAGATATCTAGGAATAAACCTAACCAAAGAAGTCAAAGACTTCTACAAGGAAAACTATGAAAAAAATTAAAAGGAAATTGAAAATGACACAGGGACAAGCTGCTAGTGTAATGGCTATGACGCTGGACTCCCATGTAGTCAACCGCAGTTCGAGTCCTGGACCCGGTGGCTTAAACTCACGCCGGGCGTATGTGCATACGTGCCCAAGATCCCGAGAGGAGAATGGAGAAGGGATTGCAGCGTGACCATTCCCCTCTGGGGAGGGGAGGGGGAGTGATTTCTCGCTTTCTGTCTCTCTCTGTCTTTCTGGTGAGTGCATGCATCCTATAGCAAAAAAAAAAAAAAAAATGTATCCATACCCTTTCCCCAATCTCTAGCCCTCCCCAAATACTGGCACCTTGAATAAGCCATGCTGTCCCTTCATAAAAAGCTTTTGGAATCATGAGAAAAACAGGTGAGATAGAATTAAGAAAAATTGATGCATCCCACTGACCCTGAGTATAGAAGAGAAATGTGAAGAATGTGTGAATTATTAGCACAGTAGAAAAGTATTTTATTTAAGAACCACATCTTCACAGTTCTGTCTGAAGGGTTTCACTCAGCTGCAAAAGAATAAACGTACAGATTCAAAGCTCCAGCTACTGAAGAATCCATCATGTTGTGTTTAGGAGAATCATAAACTCATCAGCCCAAAAAAAAAAAAAAATGACACAGTGGGAGTACCAACTTG